CTGCAACCTCTCCCCCCGGGGTTCAAGCAATTCTCCTGCCTCAGCCTCCCAAGCAGCTGGGATTACAGGTGCCCACCACCACACCCGGCTAATATTTTGCATTTTTAGTAGAGATGGGGTCTTTATATAAAAAAAAAAAAAAAAAAAAAAAAAAGACAAGTGTCAGGTCATGGAGGCCAAGGAAAGGGTATGTTTCAGGAAGTAGGGACCAGAGGTCAAAACATACTATAAAAGTACAGTGATTAAAATACTGGGTCTGGCTGGGCATGGTGGCTCACGCCTGTAATCCCAGCATTTTGGGAGGCCAAGATGGGAGAACTGTTTGAGTCCAGGAGTTCAAGACCGGCCTGAGCAACACGGCAAACCCCTTCTTTACAAAAAATACAAAACTTAGCCAGGCATTGTGGCACGCCCCTGCAGTCCCAGCTACCTGGGGGGCTGAAGTGGAAGAACTGCTCTCAGGCGATGGAGGTTGCAGTGAGTCAAGATTGTGCCATTGCACTCCAGCCTGGGTGACAGAAGGAGATCCTACTTCAAAAAGAAAAAAAGAAATCAATCAATCAATCATTCTCTCTTCCTCCTCCTCGCCACCTTTAAAAAATAAATAGGGCCGGGCGCACGGTGGCTCACACCTGTAATCCCAGCACTTTGGGAGGCTGAGGCAGGTGGATCAACTGAGGTCAGGAGTTTGAGTCCAGCCTGACCAACACAGAGAAACCCCCATCTCTACTAAAAATACAAAATTAGCCGAGTGTGGTGGCACATACCTGTAATCCCAGCTACTCGGGAGGCTGAGACAGGAGAATCACTTGAACCCGGGAGGCAGATCTTGCAGAGCCAAGATTGCACCTGCACTCCAGCCTGGGCAACAAGAGCGAAACTCTGTCTCTAAATAAATAAATAAAATAAAATACTGAGTCAGGTGTGGGGCTCATGCCTGTAATCCCAGCACTTTGCGAGGCCAAGACAAGAGGATTGCTTGAGCCTAGGAGTTCAAGACCAGCCTAGGAAACATGGGGGAACCCCATCGCTACAAACAATAAAAACAAAAATTAGCTGGGTGTGGTGGCTCGCACCTGTAGTTCCAGCTACTCCAGAGGTTGAGGTGGGAGGATCTGCTTGAGCAGAGGAGGTTGAGGCTGCAATGAGCTGTGATCACACCACTGCACTCCAGCCTGAGTGACAGAGGGAGACCTTGTCTCAAAAAAAATAAATAAATAAAAATTTTAAAATCCATGTGTATGAAGGAACACATGTTATCAGACAACTGCAGCAGGCTCTGGTTATCGAGAGGGCCCAGGGCTGGTCATGGTGAGAATGTGGGAGAATGGTCTTATCTCTTCCTTCCAATTCCCATCCTTCTTGAGATCTAGGAGTTCTCTAGTCTCTGTCTCTAAACCACAGTTTCTCTAGTAGGCCTGTACCCCTGGCTAGACTTTTACAGCATAACCTTTCCTTCAGTGGCACAGGACTAAGAAAAGTCACATGTGCTTTCAACCACTGAAGACCCACATAATTGGCCTAGGGTGAGCTAGGCCCTTTTGCAGGTTTTGGTCTTCCTGCTGTCACTGCTTTGGAAAATTATGCTATGTGAGCATCATGATCAGTAGACCTGCCTCCCTCCTTGTGGCCCTGGGAGGAAGCCATGGACTCTACCAAGTCTGAACCCCCAAAGGGATCACCAGAGGTAAGTCATTGTTGCTGCTTCTAGTTTTCCAAGGACAACTGAAGTCTAGAGAAAAGAGTTGCTTAATTTCTTTTTTTTCTTTTCTTTTCTTTTTTTTTTTTTTTTGAGACAAAGTCTCGTTCTGTCACCCAGGTTGGAGTGCAGTGGCGTGATCTTGGTTCACTATAACCTCTACCTCCCGGGTTCAAGTGATTCTCCTGCCTTAGTCTCCCGAGCAGCTGGGACCACAGATGTGCACCACCATGCCAGGCTCATATATATTTTTTTTTTAGTTGGAGTCTTGCTCTGTTGCCCAGGCTGGAGTGCAATGGCCTGATCTCGGCTCACTGCAACCTCCGCCTGCCGGGTTCAAGTGATTCTCCTGTCTCAGCCTCCGGAGCAGCTGGGATCACAGGCATGCACCACCACACCCTGCTAATTTTTGTATTTTTAGTAGAGAGGGGGTTTCACCATGTTGGCCAGGTTGGTCTCGAACACCTGACTTCAGGTGATCCGCCCACCTCGGCCTCCCGAAGTGCTGGGATTTACAGGCGTGAGCCACCGCACCTGGCTGAGTTGTTTAATTTCTTGACCGTGTATGAGCACCTCGCAGTTCCAGAAGAGGGGAGAAGAGAACACACTGTGAGTGGTGTGAGTCATGAGACAGCCATGCGGCTCTGAATTGAGCCCTAGCGTCCAGACTCGCAGCTCAGCAACGTTACTGCTTTTCCGCCCTGCCTTTCTGGTGTTTCTGGTGTTTCTTTCTGTGCCCTGGCTTATGTCGCTGAATGTGTGTACTCTGTAGAGTGCAACAGCACTAAACAGCAGGAGATTGCTTCGCAAGAAAGTCAAAAGCCAACAATCCCCTGTGGCCCTAGGCCAAGTTTCTATTCCCGGCCACTGCCCCGCCCTCGTGGTGGTTGGTGTAACCCGAGCCCCAGCCCCGCCCGAAGTAGGGGCCAGGCCCCTCCTACAGTCTTGGCTGTTTAAAGCCAAACTAGGTTCTTCCCGATTGGTTCTGCTTCAAAACAAAGGGGAGGAGGAATACTCGCTTTGAGTATGCTTGCAGCCTTCGGGCAGCAAGCTGGTTTACGGGTTCGGGTCTCGTGTCGCAGCCACCGCGGTGCCTCCGGCTGTTAAAATCAGCCCCTGGACGGTGCCAGCCTGGTAATAAAGCAGTGACTACTATGTAAAGGTAGCATAGTCATCGCAACAATAACAGCTGTAATTTGGCTAATCACCATCCGCCTCCGCCCTAGCGTTAGCCCTGATTCACCCCAGCGGCACGCGGGCCATTGGGGAAGAAACTGAGGCAGAGGCGGAGCCAGCAGGCTGGCGGGACCAGTAGCCTCAGTTCTGCGGCTCTCGAGGTCCAAAACCTGTTGTCTAGGATCCGCGCTAAAGGGCCAAATCCCGGAGCGCCCACAAGGGTCGATTCTGATGTAAGCTCTTCGACGCTGGTGTCCTCGCCACCCAGGCTGCGAGGTTCTAAACTGCCCCCAAGCCCTAGAAAAAGCCCACACCGCGGGGACTGCAATCCAGACTACAGCTCCCTTAGGCCTTTGCGCGCCAAGGCGCGCTCCTTCCCCACGCCTCCGACGACTCCCGCGGCCACTTGCGCCGCGATGCCTCCTGGGAGTTGTAGGGCGGCGGCGTGTCATTTTGAGCGAATTTCCAGGCCTGGGGACTCTATATCCCGTGGTGCCCCGCGGCTGTTTCTGACGCGACCCGGAGGCCAAGGAGGCGGGGGGCGTAGCTTTTGCAGAGCCCCACCCCACTCTGCTTGGGCCGGCCGGACACGGCAGTGGCAGTAAGGGCGGCGGCGACGGCGGCGGCGGCGGCGGCTGCGGCCGCGGGAGGGGCCGGGTGGGGGGCTGGCGGCAGCGGCGGATGGACTCGCGGGTATCGGAGCTGTTCGGCGGCTGCTGCCGGCCCGGAGGGGGCCCGGCCGTGGGCGGAACCCTCAAGGCTAGGGGGGCCGGCAGCACCAGCGGCTGCGGGGGCCCAAAGGGAAAGAAGAAGAACGGAAGGAACAGAGGGGGCAAAGCCAACAATCCTCCGTACCTGCCCCCCGAGGTGAGCACTTGAGAAGTGGTGGGGCGGGAAGAAGCCACTTTTTCCGGCCCAGGACTCCAGGGAGGCGGGACCCAGAGAATTAATCCCCCCTTCCGGTGTCGAGACCCCAGGGAGGAGGGGCATGGGAGGAGAACCCCTCTTTCCGGTCCCGGGACCCCAGAGAGGAAGGGCAGAGACTGGACTCAGGTGACAGGATCTCAGGGAGGAAGAGTGGAGAGGGAGGACTCCCCCTTCTGATCTAGATTACCGCAGGAGAGAAGTAGAGAAAGGGGATCCCAGGAAGAGCACCCCAACCAACTGCGTGTGCCGCCATAGGGGAAGAGAGACTGCATCCTGGGACGAGAGGCAGACAGAGTAACCACCACTTCTTCTAAACTTGTTCCACATGGAGAAGGGGAGTACCCGGGAAAAGAGCAGTGTGTTCCTTACACACAGCCTAAGCCAGTGATTATCAAACCTGGCATGTATCGAATCTCCCGGATTGCTGGCCCCCAACACCCGGCCAATTTTTTTTTTTTTTTTTTTTTAGACGGAGTCTCACTCTGTTGCCCAGGCTGGAGTGCTGTAGCGCTGTCTCAGCTCACTGCAACCTCGGCCTCCCGGGTTCTCAAGCGATTCTCCTGCCTCAGCCTCCCAAGTAGCCGGGATTACAGGTGCCTGCCACGCCCAGATAATTTTTGTATTTTTAGTAGAGATGGGGTTTCACCATGTTGGCCAGGCTGGTCTCAAACTCCTGACCTCAGGTGATCCACCTGCCTCGGCCCCCCCCCAAAGTGCTGGGATTGCAGGCGTGAGCCACCGTGCCCAGCCTAGAATTTATGATTCTTTCTTACTAGTGAGGATGGGCCTGAGAATTTGCATTTCTTACAAGTTCCCCTGTGATGCTAATGCTGCTGGTCCCAGGACCTCACTTTGGGAACCATTGATCTGGGCCCTAGACTCTCATTCTTGCACCACATTTTTTGAAGCCACCCATCCCCAGAAAAATGATTAAAAGGTTTTTGGAAGGTTTTTATTGATGGGGAAAAAAATAATCTCCTTAACACACCTTGAGGTGGAGATTATGAGTGAAGACTTGTTAGGGCCTGGGAGCCAGAGAGCCTTGAAGGGATGGAATGATGATCGGAAGGGAAAAGGAAAAATAAAATATCCAGAGAGAGGGATAGAAAAATGCAGACTGGCCAAACAGGCAAATCCCATATCCCTTTGCACCTGGGAGAGGAAGGCTCAGGTAACAGGGTGCTTCTGTGCTGTGCTAACCACTGGAACTAGAAGATACTGTGGGGTGGATTCAGGATTTCACCTCCACTGAGGTTAGGCGGCAGGAGGTGAAGGCCATAGCAAGTCTGTCCACTTCATTACATTTTCTGAGTTTTTCTGTTCCTCTCAGCCCCAACTTTGGAGCTCTGCTCCTCTCTCACCTAGATCTTGGTCATCAGGCTTGTAGTGACCATTGCGGAGCTCACCCTTTGGCTCTGATCCAAAACCTCTTGCAGCCTCTTACTCTAGATGACATCAGCTGAGAGGGGCAGGCAGGGAGGAAGTGGTGTTTCCTAGACCGGTGACAAAGAAAGGTTTTAATAGCCTGGGCACAGAGGAGACATAGACTTCTGGGAAAAGCGGGTTTGAGGCCCTGGAGGTGGGGAGGAAGGGATGATCTTGCATCTAGGAAGAATGTGCTGCCAGTGATCAAAGAATGGATTGATTCAGGGTTCTGTGCCTGGCTTAAGTGGGTGACTCCTTGTGTCCTTACAGGCTTTCCCTTCATAGAGGCCATGCTGGGGTTGAATAGAGCATCTTGCCTGCCACTGACCTTTAACAGGCACTTGCCTGAGCAAGTGCCAGTGGGGCTTCCTGCTTTCTCAAGTTAGCTACCTGGACCCACTGGGAGTTGAGGGGAAGTAGGGATTGGGTCTGGACAGTGTATGGTAACTGCTCACTGTTTCTTTTCAGGCTGAAGATGGAAACATTGAATATAAAGTGAGTCCTAGGCTGGGGAAAAGCAGGGGCTGGGGTAGGTTGTCCTTGCCAGTGTGGGAAAATTTCTTTTTTCTTTCTTTCAGTTTTTTGAGATGGAGTTTTGCTCTTGTTGCCCAGGCTGGAGTGCAGTGGTGCGATCTCAGATTCTCCTGCCTCAGCCTCCTGAGTAGCTGGGATTACAGGCATGCGCCACCACGCCCGGCTAATTTTGTATTTTTAGTAGAGATGAGGTTTCTCCATGTTGATCAGGCTGGTCTCGAACTCTTGACCTCAGGTGATCCACCAGCATGGGATAATTTCTCTCAGAGCCTTCCAGCTTCATAGTCTATAGCAGTTTAAGGATATGGTTCAGGTTAAGGGCTCTGTACCTTGTTCTGTTGGAGGGGGATCAGGTATGAGTTTAAGTGGAAAGGGAAAGTCTTGGTCCTTGCAGCAGAACAGGTGGGGACCATGTAGGTTTGGGAGGAACACCTCTGATTTTACCTCATGATACCCCACTTGCCCTAAGTTGAAGCTGGTGAATCCATCCCAGTACCGCTTTGAGCACCTGGTTACACAGATGAAGTGGCGACTCCAGGAGGGACGTGGTGAGGCCGTCTACCAGATTGGGGTAGAGGACAATGGGCTGCTGGTGGGGCTGGCTGAGGAGGAAATGCGAGCTTCACTCAAGACCCTGCACCGGATGGCAGAGAAGTATGCTTTCCCTTCCCCACCAGTTCTCCTTTACTTGACTTGGGAAGACCCATACATACCCAGTTACCTAGGGCCTGAGGGGCAAAGGTGGGACTTTCCTTCTCTTGACAAAGGGCTGAAGTGGGGAGGGTTAGTGTTTTGGTCCCCTCCTCACTGGACCTAGGCTGTTTAGATCCTTGAATTAAGATGTGTGTATTTGTTTTAAAGGGAATTGTGAATGAAGAATAAATTGGAGGGTGGTAGGAAGTGCGCTGAGGTATTGGGAGCTCTGTGGGAGGTGCAGGAAGTCTGTAGGTCCAGAGCAAGCCTGGAATAGGAGGACAGGTGAGATATGGCATCTGTGGCCTTGCTGTGACAGGGTTGGGGCAGACATCACCGTTCTTCGAGAGCGAGAAGTGGATTATGATAGCGACATGCCCCGGAAGATCACCGAGGTGCTAGTACGAAAGGTCCCTGACAACCAACAGGTGAGCACACACCCATCCCTGTCCCTCACGTCCACACCGTGGAAGGGCCCTGTGGTGGCAGGCTGACTCCTGGCCTGGGATCCTGGGGGCTTCCAGTTCATCACTTGCTCCCTAGGGAACATCACTGCCCTTGACCCAGTCTTCAGTGAGAGGGGTGAGGGATTGGAGCCCTTATCTCTGGCAATTCATCCACAGTTCCTAGACCTCCGTGTGGCCGTCCTGGGGAATGTGGACTCAGGGAAGTCGACTCTGCTTGGAGTCCTGACCCAGGGAGAGCTGGACAATGGGCGGGGCCGGGCTCGGCTCAACCTTTTCCGCCACCTGCATGAGATTCAGTCTGGCCGAACCTCCAGCATCAGCTTCGAGATCCTGGGCTTTAACAGCAAGGGAGAGGTGCATGGGATCAGTGGGACCCAATGGGGCCAGACTCTGAGGATGGGATGGTAGTAGTGAAGGACATACGATGGGGGCAGAGTGTGGAGACTTTTTGAAATAGTATAGATGAATGCCCTGAGGGGACTGTGAACAAGCTCTGTCCCTCTTAGGAAATCAATGGGGAATCAACTGAATTAAATAAAAAATGGGGTCAGGATTAAGAGGCAGGGTCACCCAGGGAATGGTTTAGGTCCTGGCAACTCTGAAGGGGTTGGAAGGGGTGGCAGGGGGCACTGAGAACCCTGGGCCCTGGGCCAGGTGGTGAATTACAGCGACTCACGGACGGCAGAAGAGATCTGTGAGAGCAGCTCCAAGATGATCACCTTCATCGACCTGGCAGGCCACCATAAGTACCTACACACCACCATCTTTGGCCTCACGTCATACTGCCCCGACTGCGCCCTGCTCCTCGTCAGTGCCAACACTGGGATTGGTACGAGGCATTAGGGCAGGGACAGGGCTGAAGGGGGGTGCTGACTCTCCTACCCTGGGCCTCAAATCTTGGAGACAGACCAATGCTTCTCTTCTTCCCTCTCCTCCCTTCTGCATTCTCACTCTTCTCTTCCGCTGCTTGCTGTCCTTCTGAGGCAGCTGGCACCACAAGGGAACATCTGGGGCTGGCCCTGGCCCTGAAAGTGCCCTTCTTCATCGTGGTCAGCAAGATCGACCTGTGTGCCAAGACCACAGTGGAGAGGACAGTACGACAGTTGGAGCGGGTCCTCAAGCAGCCTGGGTGCCACAAGGTCCCCATGCTAGTCACCTCCGAGGATGATGCTGTCACTGCTGCCCAGCAGTTTGCTCAGTCACCCAAGTAAGCCCACCTTACTGTAAAGCCCTGATCCACTAGGAAGGCTGCCACAGATCCTGGGGCCCAGAAGCATGATATCCCACTCTTCCAGGGCCAGACCAGTTCTGGCTTAGTTCTGTGGGTGTTTCAGCTTGGGATTGTGGAGGGACATCTTGCTAAAGGGCTTGACCCTCCCTACTAGTCAACCTGGAGCATTGCTGATGCCTGGGACCATGGGGATGAAGTGCTATACCAGGCATTTGCTGTTTCCCTTGGGCTCTGGGATGGGCTTCTTGTGTGACATTGCTCGATTGGCTCACAAGAAGGCCCAGAGTTTCTGAGCCATTTGCAGACAGGAGAGAGGGGTCCCCAGCCAAGAGCAAAGCTCGCCTTTCCATGTATGGGGATCTGGCCTCTGCCTCCTGTTTGGAGTGTCTTCGTCTGTCCCATTCTATGCTTCCCTTTACAGTGTCACCCCCATCTTCACATTGTCCAGTGTGTCTGGAGAGAGTCTGGACCTCCTCAAAGTCTTTCTGAATATTCTGCCGCCACTCACCAACAGCAAAGAGCAGGAGGAACTCATGCAGCAGCTGACGGAATTCCAGGTAGGTGACTGCCCAGCTAATAGGCTGGGAAACAGGGAGGGGCTGCTTCAGACCAAACCCAGAGTCTGTTTAGAGATTTTGGACCCACCAGCCCTACTTGGCAGGCCATTGATAGCGTTTTCTTTGGCTTCAGGTAGATGAAATCTACACAGTACCAGAGGTGGGGACTGTTGTTGGAGGGACACTTTCCAGGTGAATTGTCTTGCTTGCTACCCTCCCCACTCAGCCCTCACCCATATATTCAAAGACATTCTGGCCCAAAGGAGGAGACCCTGGAATTGAACAGAACCCATTTAAAGGACATGCTTATTTGCAGATTAGGGTTTCACTATCAGAAGAGCTGGAGAATGGTAGTCTGTTGGCTTTGGAGGGAAGAAACAGTATTGCTGCCTATTGGGAATCTCCAGGCCCCTGAGAGAGAAGTGTGGGTTTTGGGCTCCAGGAAAAAAACTATAGAGTGTATTCAACTGATTTCATCTCATATAGGGAAATGAGAGACGTCACTTAAGACTCTTCTTTGCTTTCTTTCTTTTTTTTTTTTTTTTTGAGACAGTCTCGCTCTGTTGCCCAGGGTGGAGTGCAGTGGCATGATCTCAGCTCACTGCAACCTCTGCCTCCTGGGTTCCAGCAATTCTCCTGCCTCAGCCTCTCGAGTAGCTGGGATTACAGGTGCCTGCCACCATGCCCAGCTAAGTTTTGTATTTTTAGTAGAGATGGGGTCGTCACGTTGGCCAGGCTGGTCTTGAACTCCTGACCTCAAGTGATCCACCCGCCTCGGCCTCCCAAAGTGCTGGGATTACAGGTGTGAGCCACTGCGCCTGGCCTAAGACTGCAAAGCAGAGAATGAAACTCAAGGGGATAACTTGCTCCTTCAGGGGTTAGGTGTTCAGTGTTAAACCAGCAAGTGCTTCTCTGTCTGCCATCACTGCTGGCCTTTTTTGAAATTAGTTTGCTGATTCTGAACTCTGGCAGTGATTCCCCCTTACATCCAAGTCAGAATTTAGGGTTCTTCTTCCCCACTTGAGGGACTCAACCCTAGAAGGGAAGGAATGCTCTGGGTAATCCTAATAGAGAAGTAAATATGGGGACCTTGGCTGATACTGTGCCACCTGCCCTCTGGGCTGCAGTGGGATTTGCCGTGAGGGGGACCAGCTGGTGGTGGGCCCCACGGATGATGGCTGCTTCCTGGAACTGAGAGTATGCAGCATCCAGCGCAACCGCTCTGCCTGTCGTGTGCTGCGAGCTGGTCAGGCTGCTACATTGGCGCTTGGGGACTTTGACCGTGCCCTGCTTCGCAAGGTGAGGTGGGTGCATGGGTTGGGGAGGGAACACTAAGAGAAGTGCCTAGGAGACTGGCTACTGAATGAGCACCTATCTAAGGTGCTTCAGAGAAACTCAGAGAAAACACACTCTCTGACCCAAGAAGCTTCTGGTCTAGCTACAGAGACTATAAAAACAGCTTAGCATACTCATGAAGTACAGAGCACTAAATATGAATCACTATGTTACACTATTTTTAGTGCACACTATTTTTAGCGTTCAGGACCCTAAAAATGCAAAGCGTTAGATGGGCTAGAGGACGTAGGAGGTGGGTAAAGACTCATTCCCTCTGAGAGTTTTGATTATTGTCTTTTGAAGTCGAGGTGTTTAGAGTTGTGCAGAGGAAGAGGAAATTCAGGAGCTATAAAGGGTGTGGGATGGCTGGGTAGGGAGAGTCTGATGTTAGAGCTGCCCTTCCTGGGCCTGGGGTCTGTTCCTCCCCAGGGCATGGTGATGGTGAGCCCGGAGATGAATCCTACCATCTGCTCGGTGTTTGAGGCAGAGATAGTCTTACTGTTCCATGCCACCACCTTCCGACGAGGATTCCAGGTGACAGTACACGTGGGCAACGTACGTCAGACGGCAGTGGTGGAAAAGATCCATGCCAAGGTGAGAGGGACCTGGCCTTCCATTTCTCCAGAGGTCAGAAAAGAGGGAGGCCTGCCCCAGACTGGCAGAGAACTCCTTGATCCCACAATGGGAATAAAACCCCACTTAGGGTGGGTAGCGGCCTGATAGGCCTCTGGAGGGTGGAGAGCCACAGCTGGCATAGAATGGGACAGAAGGCACTGGCCAGGGGAGTGACCACTTATCTGCTGCAGGACAAACTGCGGACAGGCGAGAAGGCAGTGGTACGTTTCCGCTTCCTGAAGCACCCAGAGTACCTGAAGGTGGGCGCCAAACTGCTGTTCCGGGAGGGTGTCACCAAGGGCATCGGCCATGTCACTGATGTACAAGCCATTACTGCAGGAGAAGCCCAGGCCAACATGGGCTTTTGAATCCTTCAGGCAGGGACAGTTCTATTGCTGTCCCTACAATATATAAGGTGACTTCCGGCCATGCTGCCCCGCCATTGGCGGCTCTGTGTGTTAATAGGCTAGGGAGAGAGGGGTGCTGCCACTTGCTCCCTGCCAACTTTCTGGAGAGGTGCCAAACTTGGTGTGGCCAGGAAAGGGCAGTCCTGAGGGAGAAGACAGGATTCAGGGCAGTGCTCAGAAGCTGTGTGCTCACCTGGTTGGCTCATGAAACGTGGCAACCCTGTGGTCTGTCTGCTGGAGCTGACTACATCCACTCATCAATTCCTCGGCCCCACTACTAAGACTGGGCATGTTTTGCTGGTGTGGTCTCTGCACTTCAGGAATTGTCACAACGGGGTGGCCCTCAAAAGCACTCCTTTTTCTATACCTCTTCTCAAGACCATGTAAGTTGCCCATCTCTACCTGGCTGTGGACAAAAGGTTATCTGCTCTTGGCCATCTGGTGGTGGTGGCTCAGAGTCTGAAGAAATGGCACAGGGACAGTGAATGGTAGTGTTCCCACCCTGTGCTGAGGCCTGAGGCCTCTTCCTCAGCTTTATCTCCCTTTCACTCAAGGGCCATTTCCCCAGTCCCTATCTCCCTCACCCTCTCCCGGCTCATAGGCCCCACAGGTGCTATTTGTTGTGCTGGCCCAGGCGTGGGGCTACCAAGCAAAGGCTTGGCATATACCAAAGGCCAGCTGCATGCCCATCAGTCTGGTCCTTTTCCTCTGTGGTCATGTTGGCTTTCATGCTGGATCAAATGTTTTACTTTCCCAGACTGGTGGCATCTGAGTTCCCCATCCTACCACTCTCACCCCACTTTTCCTGCCCCACCTAAACCCTCTTGTTTTAGTAATCTGTAGTGACTGTTCCCTTCCCTCTGTTGCAGGGAACCAGGAGGAAAGGGAAAGATGTTGCCATATTTCCTACTCTTTAGGCATGGACTCTCCTTTCCCTTTGTTAGTGTCCTGGGTTCCCATGGACTCAGGGATTTGTTGGCTGAGGTTTCTCTGCGCATGTATATATATATATACACATATGTATATATATTTAAATACACATATATATTGTACAGAATAAAAATGTTTTATTGAATACAGTGTGCTTATGCGTTAGCTACAGGCTCAGCTTCCTTCCAAGGCTAGATACCTCTCCAGGATTAGAGACAAGTGAAACCCCAACATTGCTGAGCCCTGAATGTGGAAAGAACCCAGCTGGTATCTCATTCACCATTCTTTTTCTCTCCTTCACATAGGTTCAGAGTTCCAGTATTATAACCAAGTATTGTGGCCTGTTTTCTGTAGTTCAAGTGAGCAGAGTACTGAGGCCTTTCACGTGAAATAGATAGCTACCCTGTATTTGAAGAGTTGGCCACTTGATGATGGTCAGAATAGTAAGGAGCCCACTTCTGTGCCCTGTCAGAGATACAGTGCCAGCTACTTAGAGTAGAATTTAGAGACAAAAGGTAATCTGGTCCTATACTTTCCAAGTTTATGTAGCCTAAATTACTCTTGGAACAATGAGGGTCACTTGACCAAACCTTAGTCCCTGTTCCTGTTTCCATGTTCAGACTACTTGATTTTGACATTTTATGGGTAAAGAGGGGCCAAAGTCAACTGTAAATAGAAACTGCATTTTGAGGAGACCCTGGAAAAGAAGTATGTGACCCAAAGTCCTATGTGGCATTCTGCCTCTAGAGTATTAAAGTGATAGCTTCCCTACCACTCAGGCTCAGTTTTATAAAATATAACTGGTTTAACTTGCTACTAAGAAGCCTGTAGTTGAACAACTTCCTCCTGTATTAGGGGCTAAGCTGTGTACTTCCTCTGTATAGCTGCTGATAGAGATGAAAGCTTTGTCTACAGTTTACTTATCTTTTGCCTGTATTATAAAGGAAATTTTAGAAAATCATATTTCAATACTTAATAAGACACCTCCAGAAACCAGTGAGCCTCTCTGCAACATTGATGAAACATTTAGGGGGATAAAAAGTATATAAAGCAGACTCCCAAGGAGTTTATACATGTTTATGGTCCCAATTGTGGTAATCAGATCTAAAATTCTTCACTATATACATTCATCCAATGAATATCAGCGCCTATTATGGGCAAAGCACTATGAAGAATCCTTGCCTTTAAGAAGGTACATATCTAGTTAGGGGGAAAAGGCCATGTATACAGTGAATGTAGTCTTTTTTTTTTTTTTTTTTTTTGAGACAGGGTCTCAGATGGTCACCCAGCCTGGAGTGCAGTGGCACAATCATGGCTTATTGCAGCCTCGAACTCCCAGATAGATGATCCTCCCATCTCAGCCTCCTGAGTAGCTAGGACTACAGGCATAAACCACTGTCTTTGTATTTTTTGTAAAGACTTGTTTTGCCATGTTCTCCAGGGTTCCAGTAGTTCACCCACCTCAGCCTCCCAAAGTGTTAGGATTACAGGCGTGAGTTGCCGTGACTGGCTAAATATTGTCTTTTATTAGATATTCAAGTATCATAAAAGCAGAAAATATTTTTGAAGAAAAAAATTCCTGGTAGATCCAGTAGTTTTCAAATCTTCCTCATCTCTTCAAACTAAATATAGAACCCCCCCCTCCCAATTTATAAATAAGATAAAAAGAAGTTGAGGCTGGTCTGGCAGCTCACACCTATAATCCCAGCACTTTGGGAGGCCAAGGCAGGTGGATCACTTAAGATCAAGAGTTCAAAACCAGCCTGGCCAACATGGCGAAACCCCATCTCTACTAAAAATACAAAAATTAGCCAGGCATAATGATGCATGCCTGTAATCCCAGCTACTCAGGAGGCTGATACAGGAGAATTGCTTGAACCTGGGAGGCGGAGGTTGCAGTGAGCTGAGATTATGTCATTGCATTCCAGACTGGGTGACAAGAGGGAAACTCCACATAAAAAAAGTAGAAGTGGCCGGGCGCGGTGGCTTAAGCCTGTAATCCCAGCACTTTGGGAGGCCGAGGCGGGCGGATCATGAGGTCAGGAGATCGAGACCATCCTGGCTAACACGGTGAAACCCCGTCTCTACTAAAAAATACAAAAAACTAGCTGGGCGAGGTGGCGGGCGCCTGTAGTCCCAGCTACTCGGGAGGCTGAGGCAGGAGAATGGTGTAAACCCGGGAGGCGGAGCTTGCAGTGAGCTGAGATCCGGCCACTGCACTCCAGCCTGGGTGACAGAGCAAGACTGTCTCAAAAAAAAAAAAAAAGTTTGGGTATATGTATGGGAGGGATGTGTACACCATTCTCTGGGCCCACTTCACCCAGCACCACCTACTTCAGTTCTTCTTCAGTTGGGTTCCCTGTGTAATTCAAGTTTCCCCTATCATAACGGAAAAGCCAAAAGAGCTGACTTTTCACACACAAGAAAGGAGAATAAGAAGACAGTACTATAGGCCGGTCATGGTGGCTCATGCCTGTAATCCCAGCACTTTGGGAGGCAGAAGTGGGTGGATCATGAGGTTGAGATCGAAACTAGCCTGACCAACATGGTGAAACCCTGTCTCTACTAAAAATATAAAAATTAGCTGGGCTTGATGGTGCTTGCCTGGAGTCCCAGCTATTCAGGAAGCTGAGACAGGAGAATCTCTTGAACCTGGGAGGCGGAGGTTGCAGTGAGCCGAGATTGCACTACTGCACTCCAGCCTGGTGACAGAGCGAGACTCCATCTCAAAAAAAAAACAAAAAACAAACAAAAAAAACAGTAGTATAAACATGGACAAGCACAAAAAGCTACATAACTAATTTTAAACCCTAAACTAAATATACTCCAGTGGGAAAGATGAACAAGCCAGTAACCTTAATGGCTGAAGCACTTAACTCTTAAATTTGTACTTAAGGGCTTAAGAAAATGTCCTCTACACACCTGGTCATTAGTATCTTTTTGATCAGCATTTCTCAAACTTTAAGATACACATTGGGAAATTTTTTTTGTTTTTTTTGACACAGAGTCTTGCTCTGTTGCCAGGCTGGAGTGCAGCGGCACAATCTCGGTTCGCTGCAAGCTCCACCTCCCAGGTTCAAGCAATTCTCCTGTCTCAGCCTCCAAAGCAGCTGGGATTACAGGTGCACACCAGCACGCCCAGTTGTATTTTTAGTGGAGACGGGGTTTCACCATGTTGGCCAGGATGGTCTTAATCTCTTGACCTCGTGATCTGCCCGCTTGAGCCTCCCAAAGTGCTGGGATTACAGGAATGAGCCACCGAGCCTGGCTCACACTGGGAAATCTTGTTAATAGATTAAGTGGGAGTAGTGGTGAGGCTGAGACTGTTTCTAGCAAGTTCCTTGGTGATACTGAGGCTGCTGTTCCTCAAATCATACTTGGGAGTAGCAATGTTCTAGAGATGATCTAGAGGTTTTTTTTGTTTTGTTTTTTGTTTTTGAGACAGTTACTCTGTCACCCAGGCTGGAATGCAGTGGCAATCTCGGCTCACTGCAACCTCTGCCTCCCAGGTTCAAGTGATTCTCCTGCCTCAGCTTCCCGAGTAGCTGCGATTACAGGCACCTGCCACCACGCCCGGCTAATTTTTGTATTTTTAGTAGATACGGGTCTCGCCATGTTGGCCAGGCTGGTCTTGAACTCCTGACTTCATGTGGTCCACCTGCCTTGGTCTCCCAAAGTGCTGGGGTAACAGGCATAAACCACCGCGCCCAGCAAGATTTGATTATGACTTATCTAAACAGAGTTCCTGAAATGGTCAAGTAGCAATCTAATTCTACATTAGAACAAAATGCAAGAGATAGGCCAATGGTTTGAACTGAGGGTATAATAGGGTTTACCTGTATGAAATTCACTGTTTACTAAGTCGCTTTTGTGTAGAGAGAGACCTGCCCTAGTTACTGTATCACTTTTAGGGTTTCAAGGCTTCACCTCACATTCTCCAGCTGAAAACATGTAAATCTGGTCAATGTACTATCTGAACTGCCCATCACAGAGCTACAAAGTTTTTCTTTTTTTTTGAGACAGTCGTTCACTCTGTCACCCTGGCTGGAGTGCAGTGGCGTGATCTCAACTCACTGCAACCTCCACCTTCCAGGTTCAAATGATTCTCCTGCCTCAGTCTCCCGAGTAGCTGGGATTACAGGCGCCTGCCATGACCAGCTAATTTTTTTTAGTAGAGACGGGGTTTCGCCACCTTGCCTAGGCTGGTCTCAAACTCCTGAGCTCCTGCAATTCACCCGCCTCAGCCTCCCTAAATGCTGGGATTATAGGCATGAGGAACCACACCCAGCCTAGAGAGCTTTTCTTAAAATCCCTTTTTTTTCGGGGGCCTGGATCGGTGCTGGGATAACATTTGTAATCCCAGCAACTTTGGGAGGCCAAGGCAGGCGGATCATGAGGTCAAGCAATCAAGACCATCCTGGCTAACATGGTGAAACCTCATCTCTATTAAAAATACAAAAATTAGCTGAGCATGGTAGCATGCACCTATAGTCCCAGCTACTTGGGAGGCTGAGGCAGGAAAATTGCTTGAACCCAGGAGGCAGAGGTTGCGGTGAGCTGAGATCGCACCACTGCATTCCAGCCTGACGACAGAGGGAGACTCCGTCTCAAAAAAAAAAAAAAAAAATTCCCTTTTTATTTTTAACTATGCAAGTCTCATTACATTTATAACCCTTTTTTAAACTTGGTCCCTTTTCTGTGGCAACTTTATGTTTGTTCTTGTTTTTGTTTGAGGCGGAGTCTCGCTCTGTTGCCCAGGCTGGAGTGTGGTCAGTAGCGCAATCTCAGTTCACTCCAACCTCCGCCTCCCAGGTTCAAGCGATTCTCCTGCCTCAGCCTCCTGAGTAGCTGGGATTACAGGTGTGCGCCACCATGCCTGGCTAAATTTTTTTGTAATTCTAGTAGAGATGGGGTTTTACCATGTTGGTCACGCTGGTCTCAAACTCCTGATCTCGTGATCTCCCTGCCTCAGGCTCCCAAAGTGCTGGCATTACAGGCATGAGCCTGTATTTTTTATTTTTTGAGATGAAGTCTTACGCTGTTGCCCAGGTTGGAGCACAGTAGCATGATCTCAGCTCACTGCAACCTCTGCCTCCAGGGTTAAAGCAATTCTCCTGCCTCAGCCTCTGAGTAGCTGGAATTACAGG